CAAATCACATTTCACAACCAAATAATAATCCAACATAAACTATATAAAAAAAAAGATCAACCACAATAATTTATTCAAGAAACACTATATACAACAAAAAGGTCAAAATACGGGGTATACATATAAAGCAAATATGTCCACAAATTTCACTGCATACAACACAAACTAACTATGAAGAAGTGAATGGATCCCTAGGTCTGCGCACTCGGGACCCATTCCGAAGCTTTGTCCGTGAAGAAGACGAGGCTTCACCTGAGAGGTGGCGTGTGAAATCTTCGAAATTCGACACATTCTCTTCATCTGAGTCTTCTTCACCTATGTAATTCATTTAGTAAAAAGATCACAAATTAGGCTTGAGAAAAATAAAAAAAGTAAAAAAAATTAATTTTTTGTTAAGCAAATAAACCTCACGTTCTTCAAGGTCGGGGTTCTCAAATTCGAGGTGCTGGGGGGACGGTAGATTGGTTGGACGGCCCCGAGTTCTTCCACCCCCACCAATGTTGGCAGCGGGTTGATGCCTCGCGGTGTGAGACTGTGTCTTCTGGGATGGAATATACTGGTCCTGGGATAGAACTTGACTTAACGGCGCCCCTTGTGTAACACCTCGGCCTCCAACAGTCAGAGAAGTATAAGAAAAGTTGTATGATTGTTTGAATGCGGCATGCGTCTCTGGAGGGAGTGTAGGCATTAAGTGTTGAATACTCGCTAATGAGTTATTGACCCCCTCCAGGCCAGAGGTCTGAAAATAAAATTAAAAGTAATTAGTATGAAACAACATAAGAAAAAAAAGAAATAATTAAAAAAACACAAATTATAAACACTTACCTCGCACCCTAACCGCTCGTCAATTAGTTGATAGCCGTCGGCCTGTTGGAACACCTGGTAATTGAAAAGGTTACTGATGAGTCTCACAGTCTTACTGTGAAACCAATCAAGGTAATCCTGCTCTGGCTGCAGGAAGTCATACACAGGGACAACTGAGAGGAGATTCTGTTCTCTTTATTCCCAGACCTTCGTAAGCGGTGAATGAAAGTCGACCCAATCAACAAATTCCCTCCCAGTCATTCCTTGCCCGGCGTGGTGTCTGGCCCAGTCTTGCTCACCCGTAATGATTGGATTTTGGAGGATGGACTGGCGACACCGAAATTGTCGGAGGACCATATCAGACAGTGTAGCTCACGGGTGCTCCAACAGAAGATCCACCCGCGATACTCCAAAATTGTGGATCTTCTGTGCACGCACCCGGGAGAGTAACATCTTGCAGGCACTTTTGATAGGCAACCAATCGAACTGTAAAAAAAAAAAAGAATTAGGAATTAAGTTATAAAAAATTAAAAACAAAAAACAAGAATAAATTAATGAATTAGAGTTAAGAATCTTACATCTGTCTCTCCCTGCCTCGTCAACTGATCCCGGACTGCGGCTGTTCCCTTGCCTATATGTTTCAGATCCTTCCGTCCTACCCACCTAAAAAAAATCACAGAAAAAGAAAATAAATTTGTTATCAGAAATTTTGATAATGGAACTAACCTACGTATTAAATATAAATAAACTTTATTACCTAGCACCTAAAGGACAACCACGCTGGAAATCAAATTGCGTGGACTTCACTTTTGGGCGAATACGAGGGATACGCTCCCACGCCCAAACCTATACATATCGACATATGCTGTTACTAAATATTAGTCTAAATTATAATAGAAAATAATGAATTTTCAAAGAAAGTAAATAAACTAACTTGAATCAACTGCACACAGCTCTTGATCCACTGTTCCCCGGCCTGATAGGAGGTGCACAACGCTCTATATACAGCGGCCAGGAGCGCCGAACCCCAACTGTACCCTTTAGTCCCGTCTATGTCTTCCAACAGCTGTAGCCAGTAAAGACTCACGCCATTCGCCCATTGGTCAGGGAAGAAAAAGGAGCCAAGGCACCACAGGATAAGGGCCCTCGCCCTCTGCTCGTAGCATCTGGCCGGAAGTCCATCTCACAAGATTGTATTGCATTCCTTTTCTAATCCCGAACACTTCATAAACTAGTCTTTAATGGCCCAAACAGCGAGATTTTGCGCCGCTTCCACTTCCTGGTGCTGGAGGGATCCTGAGAGTGGTTTTTATATATTAAAAATGATATAATTGAGTGGACATAAATATAAAAAAAAAATAAAATTATAGGAAAAAATATACCTGGACATAGGGCTCAAACCCTAACAAGTCCTTGCACCTATCGTGCCATTGTTGGGGTGTTATATCTACCGCCACTCCCAAACAAGCAGTTCCATTGACCGACAGACCGAACATGACCTGCACATCCTGCAGCGTGATCGTGGCCTCCCCGAAATTGAAATAGAAAGTATGCGTCTTCGGTCGCTACCTTTCCAGCAGACCGGTAATGATGCTGTTGTCGGTTTGGACTCGACCCATTCAAAAGAAGGGCCCGAAACCAGTCTGCTCGATCACCTCCAAAACCGACGGATGCTGCTTTGGCAAAGCGTTCCAGAACTGAGTGTCGTAGCGGCGCTTTGTAACCGTGCCGCTACGATATCCCTGTATATCTTCATAAACTGCCTTTTACTGGTGGCAGTACTGAAGATATAGAAAACTGGTATCCCTCGGACCAGGGTGTACACTGTATCGCTGAGGCTGCGACGACGACAATGAAGCCATTATCTACAATTACAAAAAACTTATATTCACAATAAATTATAAGTTAATGTATAATTCAAAGAATAAATGAAATTAGTGGATAAACCACAAAACTACACAACTGAATTATATCCATTTTACGGATTGGTGTCTGAGATATACAATTATATGTTGAACATAAAACCACAATACGAGCATCATGTTGTAAATTATATATTCTTCCCTTAGTATGTTTTTTTCTTACCTTTTTCCTATTTTGTTTTCACAAAATGAAGCACCAATACACAATTATTCTTATTCACAGATTACTTATATTGAGTTGTTTGCACAACAATAAATCAGTTACCCTAAAGAGTAAAAGAACACAAGTATTTGCAGACACATTCTCTTGTTTTATAAAGGCATAATCTAATTTCCAAATCGACTCCATATTCAACAAAGAACTTAATTCGCAATTCCTAATTCAACAATGAATCGAAACCTAAGAGTCGGGTTTAACCATTATACTTCGACGGGCCCTAATCGAACCCTAAACCTAATCCAATTTCCAATTCGACTCCTTATTCAATAGAGCACGTAATTCGCAATTCCTGTTTCAACAATGAATCACAATTCCTATTCAATCAAGCATGTAATTCGCAATTTGCAATTCCTATTTCAATAATTCGCAATGAATTGAAAACCCTAAATTAAAAACCTAATTCGAAATTATTGAAAAATTTGCAAAAATTGAAGCCCTAATAGAAGAAATATTTACCTTAAAGATGGTAAGGAGGCTGCGATGCGGCGACAGTGCGGCGCGGCTGTGCTTTTTTCTTTTCTTCTCCGAAAGTCCTTCTCTCGCTCACTCTCTCAATCTCTCTTTCTCTGTTACTCTATAATCTGTTCGCGTAGAGAAGAAGGAGTATACTTTTTTTTTATATTTACATGTAAAATGTATTCTCAGATATGTTTTACACTTAATTATTTATAAAACGTATTCTCGGAATACATTTTACACATAATTATATGTAAAACATATTTTGAGAATACGTTTTACGTAAAAAAAATTATGGAAGATTTTGTTGGTGGTACAGACCGAACGGATGGCAGTAAGAAAAGAAAGGGAACCGGATGCCCCCGGGATCGTACCGCTGCCGAACGGATGGGAGAGAATAAGTGAGATCTGTTTAATCATTACGAGAGCCAGCCTTACTGCGCGCATTAAATGCGGAGATACAGGAAAATCTCTTATCCGACAGCCAAGGAAAAATAGGGACGCGTGGCGTGATCCGGACGACTCTCAGACATTGGGAAAAGATTACCAAGTACAATTAGCATTAAATATTGAATGACTAATATCTAAAAATATCCTGCAAAAGGAAATGTAAAAATCCCCAAGAGGGAAATGTAAAGTTCCTAAACTCCCTATAAAAGGGAGGGGAGGACATCATTTAATGCAATGAGTAAATGCTCTCATTAATTACACAATAAGTCACGGATAGACTGAGCATTTGGACCAGTAAAATAAAATCGAATCACAAACACAAATACTATTCGTGCAGACCGAACAGAGTACACATCTTAGTGTACAGTTCGAACACATTGTTGGTCATTTTTAGACATCAACAATTGGCGCTAGAAGGAGGAGGCATTCCAGCTTGTCAAAGACAACTGCATCATCATCAAGCCAGAGTCGCCGGCGAGACTCACCAGAAGAAAGGGAAGATCGGCGAAACAACCCAACCACGAGGACGGACTATTCAGCCTTTTTCAAAGACCCAAACTTTGTTAAGAGAATATCAAACCTGATAACACAGATCCGGCCCTCTACATCTCAAGCACCCAAAACCCCAGCCAAAAAAGACCTTACCAACACCCTCAAAGGCAAGGAAACAAACGGTCGCGAAGAAACCACCCGATTGCCTGGGAGCACGAAGGAAAAATCCACCACCCGGACGGAAAATGAACAGACAGACGAAAGTCGCTCGGTCACAGATACTCGAACCCGAAACACCACCCGGTCGGTTTTCAGACGGCTGGGAAAAAACATGGCCGACGACGACTTGAGGAGAACATTGACCAGAAGGCGAACGACTCAAGCCGAAGAAGACGAAATGAAGAGCCTCCAAAGAAGAATAGCCGAACTCGAAGCTCGGCGTTCGGCCCAAAAACGACTAGTTTCCACCGGACAGGATCTGACGGAAGTCCCTCTCAAACGAGCTACGACAGCCTCAAGGGCACGAACGGAATCCAGCCCAGCCGAACCCGAATCACCCCTAACATTTGATATTTTGCAGGAACAGCTGCCCGAGAAGATCAATATCCCGCAGATCAGATTTTATGACTGAACATCTGACCCGGACACCCACCTAGGATTATACACGTCATGGATGGACCTGCACGGAGCACCGGACGCCCTCCGCTACCGGATGTTCTCATTAACTCTGGGAGAAAAAGCACAAAGATGGTACCATTCGCTCACCCCACATTCGATCGCTAAATGGTCACAATTAAAATCCATGTTCCGAACCCACTCCATCGGATCCCAAGCGTGCCGAATTCCCAAAGAATCGATCACTCACATTATCCAGGGAGCAGACGAGAGTTTGAAGAATTACATCACTCGTTTCAATGAACGGGTACAAAACATGGAACCGTGTCATCAGGAGACTCTGCTCGTTTCGGCATATTCAGGACTGAGACCAAAATCGATGTTCAAATGGACCCTCTGCCAGAACAAACCTCAGACGTATCACGAATTTTTGATGAAAGCTCAACAACATATCATGGCAGAAGAAAACATGTCCGTCCCGTCGTTCCCAGCCCTGAACGAGAAAATCGCCGAAGCAAAGGAGTCCCGACCGAACAAGGAGTTTGTGAAGGACGAAAGAATCTCCCAATTTCGAGCCATGCAGAGGAAACATCACGAGGAACTCACGAACAGCTACCAGGGAGTGTATTCGGCCGGCGCGGCCGTAGTGTATGAAGAGTTGAAGAACAAGGGAATCATCCCCGACCCCAGACCGATCAGGGTGGATGAAGAAAATCTAGACAAAAGCCGATATTGCGCTTACCACAAAGCGCATGGCCACAATACCGACCAGTGTCGGAACTTAATATCTGCCTTGTTGAAACTAGTTGATGATCCGCAGGTAAGGAGGTTCACTAGAATGGATGCAGGCAACCGGAGGCCAAGAAACGATGAACGAACGAACCCAAGAGACGAGCCCGATTTCGGACTGAATCCCCAGAGAGCGAACGAACACCACAATGAAATCTTGACAATCAGTCAGGAGCAACGAGGCGAGACGAGCGCATCCGGGGGAAGGAAAAGGACATCGTCCAGGCGAGACGAGGAGCATTCGGTTCACATCCCAATCCGAAGAAGCGGACCGCCCACAAGGGTCAATACGAGCCGGGAAAGTTCGAGCGTGTCAAGAAGACAGGTCAAGGCATACGTCCGAAAAGCATACAACACAGGACACCAAGTCAGCCGAGAGGAGGTCAACCGACACATCCCCATGCCCACAAATCTAATAATGTTTTCGGATGAAGATTCTCTCCCCTTTGATAATCCACACTCAGATGCACTCGTAATCACATCCCCCATTTTCCGAATCCCAGTCCACCGAATCATGGTGGACACGGGGGCGTACTCGAGTATCTTATACTGGACCGCATTCCTTAAAATGGGGATAGACCAAAGCGAACTGCGCCCATGCAACGACCACATAACTGGATTCAACGGACAAGCAACCATTCCCGAAGGAGAAATCACTTTACCAATCGAGCTCG